GGTACATAAGGGAGTTTCTTGTGGTAATAAAACTCCAGCACTTGATATTAATCTTATAATATTTAAATGAAGATGTACAGCGTGCTTGAAGAGCGGCTAGTGAATGAACGAATGATACCGAAATACATTAACTTATTAAGCTGTGATACTTAGCGCCTTAGAAGGCTAGCATCTTTGACATTGCTCTAAAATAATTGAAGGCACTGGCCTGAACAGAACTCATATCTCATGGTAGGTAACGGCATTTACGTTGTAGGTGTCTATGGACTCCGGTGACCAATTAACATCAGGTGGAGCGTATGCTCGAATGCCTACAAGGGCAAAAAAAAATAAAAATAAAAACACTACCGCACGAGGATAGCAGGAAATATCATATAACTAGAATTGTGTGTGCTTCCCTCGCTCTACTAATAGAATTCAAAATATCCTTGCTTCACAGTCGGTTGAATGACTGAACATGATATTTCAACTTTATCTGAGACTCGCGAACTGAACTTTGGATCGAACCTTCAAAAGCGCTTATTACACTCCTTCCAACTTGTAAAACAATCACCATTTATGTTGGAGCCACAAAAAGAACATATTGGTAAGGCTTGTACCGCTTTGAAGGGTTTATTTAGCCGTCTGGACAATTAAGGTAGTGAAAAGTTCACATTTTATATTTCAACATTTCCTGAAATTCATCGCCCACCTGAGGACTCCTGTGCTGACGAGTTCACGAGTAGATATATTAATCATATGCGACAGCCCGGCTCTTCATTTGTGATATCTATCTATCGCATGTCGAATGACCGATACTTTCGTTATTTTTTCACATAGTAGGCGTATGGGGGGTAGTCGTGCAAAGAGATTGCACAGCACGAAACGGTATGACAGTTCCGAACCATCTACCACTCTCCCTGAGTCAGGCAACGAATTTACGTCGAGTCAACACGAGCGATGACACCTCGACTAGTTATGCCGAAGCGCACAACCCGAATTGAGCTGATGTTTGACAAATAGTTTGTCACATCCACTGGGTGGCTTCTCAGCTTCGTTCCCGACCCGGTGGTAGATTATTCGAAGCACTGCTCTTGCTAGGGCTAGTGTTAGCAAATCCGCCAGACTGAGCTCTGTGAGTTCGCCTACTCTCTCGGTAAATCTAGTATTCTCTCGAGGTTACAGAATAGGAAGGAAAAAACAAATAATAAAAAGTGCGCGTGCAATTTAGTGCACGTGAATGAAGTGAAACTTCTTTTTCGATGTGTAGTATTGTGGTTTTCTTCATTTTTCATCCTTAAATCGGATTGCTCTTGTAATAGGGAATGCTGTGTATAAGAGATGCGACATCTTCAACATTAGTATTATATATTTTTGTCATATATTTTTTACTGGTGGTAGGACCTCTTGTGAGTACGCACGGGTAGGTACCACCGCCCTGCCTATTTCTGCCGCAGTAATGCGTTTCGGTTTGAAGGGTAGGGCAGCCGTTGTAACTATACGTGAGACCTAAGAACTTATACCTTAAGGTGTGTGGCGCATTTACGTTGTAGATGTCTATGGGCTCCAGTAACCACTTAACACCAGGTGGGCTGTGAGGTCGTCCACACATCTAAGCAATAAAAAATAATAAAAATAATAATAATAGATAGATTTTTTTTTTAAATACTTCATTAAAATTTGGGCGTTACACATTGCCAATGCTCGCACTGGCTTGTAACACTTATACTACGCGCATGCGTTCGAGTGCCACACATTCACTCTCGCTCTGTCTCTTTCTATTCCATGGTAGCGTTATAGTTTAACGCAACCCTGTTGGAATTTGGCATTAGAAGTTTCACTTCAAAAACTATGCGACGCACTTTCGCTTCGTTTGTCGTGCCCGAATGCGACATATATATTTTAATCGCTAAAGGCTACTTTTAAAGAAGTCCCGCAGAAAATTTATTAAAAAGAAACCAATTCCGCTCGTTCTAAGGCCCAATACCGAGAAGACACTGTACGAGTATTTCCCGTTACGCGAATGCCAAATCGTTCTGAAAAAAAAAAAGTCGATTCAGTAACAAACTTTGATTGGGTCTCACGGGAACACTCTGCGGAACGTCTCGTTCTTTAACAACTTTTTTCATCGATATCATACATATATTATTATATATTATGTTTGTTGAAGAGACTCAAACAGTTCGCTGTCATTAAAATTCCGATAAATTATGTGCATTTTAACGAACCCTATGTATTCTGGGAATGAAGTAAATGCAAAGTAAAGTTTTTACTGGTGGTATCTTGTGAGTCCGCGCGGGTAGGTACCATCACCATGCCTATTTCTGCCGTGAAGCAGTAATTCATTTCGGTTTGAAGGGTGGGGCAGCCGTTGTAACTATACTGAGACCTTAGCACTTATCTCTCAGGGTGGGTGGCGGCATTTACGTTGTAGATGTCTATGGGCTCCGGTAACCACTTAACATCAGGTGGGCCGTGAGCTCGTCCACCCATCTAAGCAATAAAAAAAAAAAAACCACAGTCCATGGAAATAGGAGTAAATAAAAGTTTATGGATGTCTTAACGTGGCCAAATGGATCGACGACCTGGTCAAAATAGCCGGTAGGTACTGGATGCGAAAGGCAAGAGACCGATGAGAATGGAGTGACAAGACTTACACTCAGCATTGAGTGGACACGGGTTGAAGAAGAATCGAGAAGAGAATAGTGTATGTTTTTTCAAAAGTAAGTAAAAGCTTCTGTTCATGTCGGCCTAGTTAATTCATCGGTAGAGCTATTTAAAGCTTCGTCTTATCTTACAGTGTATGGTGGTTTACCGGTGATAGGACCTCTTGTGAGTCCGCGTGGATAGATAACCACCCTGCCTATTTCTGCCGTGAAGCAGTAATGCGTTTCCGTTTGAAGGGTGGGGCAGCCGTTGTAACTATACTGAGACCTTAGAACTCATATCTCAAGGTGGTGGCGCATTTACGTTGTAGATGTCTATGGGCTCAAGTAAGTACATAATACCAAGTGGGCTGTGAACTCGTCCACCCATCTACGCAATAATACATATATTATAGTATTATATAGAGCACAATAATATTTCGACCTACTATTTTTCTCATTAAAGTTTTCCAATGTTCTTGGATTCCTCCGCCATTGTTAGGATATTTCCTTGCGAAGCACAATATCCAACGCGTTACGAGAATATTACTTTTTTGTTTGTTTAAAACAATGCGTACTGGTTCATATCGAGTGTTTAAATGGGGAATTCTGATGCTTATTCTTGGTCGTTTCCTTGGCTTTGTGTGTGCCTGTGGCGTTTTAGTAATCTTTGTTTGCCATTGTAGATAGGTGAACATACGGCCCAATTGATGGTATGTTTTCACTGTCGTTCAAGGAAATTAGCAGGTACACAACCAAACCACTGTCTACTACGAAGTATTTCTAAAAAAGTACAACAAGACAGACAGCGGCAGCGGCTTGGCTCTGCCCCTGGCATTGCTGAAGTCCATGGGCGGCAGTAACCACTCACCCTCAGGTGGGCCGTAGGCTCGTCTGCCTACAAGGGCAATAAAATAAAAAGACAGTACAGGCACTATACGTTCTATATAGTTAGGAAAAGTATAACGTAAATTACGTAGAGAATTAGTCTTGTCACCGCGCGCGACCAGCACCAAGCTTCGATCAATAATAGTACTGATCGAAGGCGCCATGGCTAGATTTGAAGTCAAGCAGTGATACGTTACAGTTTAAAGGGTGTGGCACCCCCTATGCAATCGCATGAACACCCTGACTCCAACCAAGAATCTAGAGGAACCAAGCGATACAGTCCGCAAAAAAACCCTTCATTTCTTATCAACAAAATCCAACCTATCAAAGGCGGTCTAATTTTTATATTTATCATTAAAAAGTTCCACCGTATACATCTGCACTCATCCGATAATTGAAGCAGTAGTATCGGATCGCCGCTTCAAACATTCGACGGATACGACCCAAATAAGTTTTCTAGGACTCATTAGGACTGTTACAACGCTAATTGGAAAGTACAGTGTACAAATACTTCGCGTAATATTAAAATGAAAATTGCATTTTAATTTTTTTTGCTATTGCCCTTATGGCCAGACGAGCATACCGTCTACCTAATCGTGAGTGGTTACCATGGCTGCTGGAGGTCGTCAATGCCAGGAGCAGAGCTCAGCCGCTGCCTGAAGGAGGAAAGGAAATTATTCAAGTGGACAAATACCTACTCTCCAATTCGGCATACATTCCCAGAACCGAGAAGAATCGGAGAGAAACTGAGGGCCTTTCAGATAAATATAACACATTTATTTTATTCATTATTCAATAATATTTGTATTGAGAGAAATAGCGGTGCAAAATTAACTTGCAAAATGCGACATGTCTGACCATCTACGTCAGATTAAGTATATCACTGAATGTCATGACATGTCTTTAAGAATATTTATTTACATACTAGTTGGCCCGGCAGACTTCGTAGTGCCTCAATCGATAAATAAACAGACCTAAAAGATTAGGTCTGTTTATAGGTAGGTATAAAATAAGCTTAAAACAAACAAAAACAAAGGAACAAAAGGAAGGTGTCCGATGGGGGACACATAAAAGGAAAAAGAAAATTGTTATTTTTATTTAAAACCGAGCATTTTCATATTTATCTGCCTTTTAAAACTTTTCTGGACTTCCACAAATAATTTAAGACCAAAATTAGCCATATCGGTCCAGCCGTTTTCGAGTTTTAGCGAGACTAACGAACAACAATTCATTTTTATATATTATATAGAAGAAGAAGATATATTGGCGGGAACGGAAGAAGTGAAGTTGAATGATTTTTTTTTATTTTGTTAACTCAGTACCTATTTCTTCGGGTTTTGATGTGTAATATTGTTGGCTTTTAACCGTTTGACAACTGCAATAGAGATATAACCCTTCACTTAATGCTTCGCGGCATAGCAGAGTAGATAAGATCGCATTCCAATTCAGGCTTACAAAACAACGTGGCTCCTATTACAATCATTTATTTTAATAGTCCGCACAACTGTCTACGTCGATGTCCTCGTTCCAGCCGCAGCTGTTCCTCCAGTTGCTGACGTCAAGAGCGTGCGATGAAATGATGCTCTGGAACTTCTCCCACTCACAGAGCGGTCCGTCACAGCCCTCGCTCGTCAGATAGATCTCGGGCTCCCCTGGTCCGTTCATGAAGACTGGCTGCAATATCGTAACGTATTTATAGTAGACTTAATTGACCAAACAAAATCAATTTCAATGATAGTAATTTCTTTTTAATTTTTTTTTTGCTTACATAGTTGGACGAGCTCACAGCCCGCCTGGTGTTAAGTGGTTACTTAGACATCTACAACGCAAATGCGCCACCAACCTTGAGATATAAGTTCTAAGGTCTCAAGTATAGTTAATAGTTACAACGGCTGCCCCACCCTTCAAACCGAAACGCATTACTGCTTCACGGCAGAAATAGGCAGAGTGGTGGCACCTACCCGCGCGGACTCACAAGAGGTCCTACGACCAGTAATAAATTTTTAAACAAAGTTTTTAGATCGTACAAAAAACAGACGTTGCAGTCAGTTTACTGGAAAATCTAAGCGAACCACCGACGACAGTCTACCGACTTTGCAGTAGAGGATATTTTGCAAGCGAGGAAACTTAACTTATGGGTAGTTTCTTTTTCATATTATTATGGTTGTGAGGACTTTTTGGCGGGAACGCGAGGAGTGAAGTTCAGTGATTTGTTTTATTTTGTCTATTTAGTGTTTCTTCAGGTTTAAATGTGTAATAACGGTGTTTTATTAACTGTTTAGTTTCTGTCACAGTGCACAAATGTGAGAAAATGAAACAAAATCGCTAGATGTAACTTCTCGGGATCCTCCAAAAGGTCCACTGAAAAAAATCAAATCACCACCATTTTACTGAGATCACATTTCATCCCATATTATATCATCTCATTTCATTTCATCCCAGTTGATTAATGTCTCAAATTAATAATCTTCATTTCATTTCACTCCATATTATAATTTTTCATAAAAATAAGAATATAAATTAAAATAAGACATGACCTAAAGGCCTTAGTCACCAGGTCATAAAATCCCTTAAAAAAAATTATGGTTGTGGTCGGCATTACGGAAACTACGTCACAGATATGTGTTGGATGACCTAAGACTAAGACCGTCGTTATGTCCAACAGCGAGCATCAGACAGGCGTAAGAAAGGGATGATGCGTTCTTAGAATAGCGCGGTCTCTCTCGCTCAACTGTACCTACGTCATAAACCATAAAATGCCTTTAGGTTATTTGTCAGTCCCACACTACCGTTCATAATCGATATATATAAAAATGAATTGCTGTTCGTTAGTCTCGCTAAAACTCGAGAATGGCTGGACCGATTTGGCTAATTTTGGTCTTGAATTATTCGTGGAAGTCCAGAGAAGGTTTAAAAGGTAGATAAATATGAAAATGCTCGGAATTAAATAAACAATTTTGTTTTTTCTTTGATGTGGCCCGGGTCAGCTAGTAAGTACTTCGATAAAATATTCGATAGAAAGTTGTTTATCTGCAGACCGTGCCGTGATGCGCGCGTCGCATCGCCAGACATCACCAACTCAACTTGACTGCATTTATCGGTGGCATGCTCTATCCAATGCTTACGGCAGCAACTCACTAAATACTTTTGATTGCTCCTTTCCCTCCTCAGCAGCTCACTAATGCCGAATGCGACGAACTTACCAACACGAAATACTTTTGAGTGCTCCTTTCTCTCCTCAGCAACTCACTAATGTCGGATGCGACTAACTTACCAACACGAAATACTTTTGAGTGCTCCTTTCCCTCCTCAATTCCAACGAGTAGGATGCTCCGTAGTTCGGCATGCCAGTTGTGTTCACCTTCGTCACGGCCATCATAGAGTACACGTTGAAGTCGTGAGCTGAATGCAGGTACACTTTCGGTACCTTCTGACCGGCCTGAACCTGGGATGCCGCTGTCAAGAAACCATCGAGAAGGACACCTGGAATTGTTTTTTTTATTGCTTAAATGGTTGGACGAGCTCACAGCCCACCTGGTGTTAAGTGGTTACTGGAGCCCATAGACATCTACAACTTGAGATATAAGTTCTAAGATCTCAGTATAGTTACAACGGCTGCCCCGCCCTTCAAACCGAAACGCATTACTGCTTCACGGCAGAAATAGGCAGGGTTTGGTAGCTGCCCGTGTGGACTCACAAGAAGTCCTACCACCAGTATAATGATTAGCTGGCGCTAGCAAAATTGTTAGGAATTTTCTTTCATCAATGATTAAATGGCTTCATGGTTAATGTTGAAGTATCTTTGATTTGAAATAGAGCGCATTATTTATATAGGGCAGAAATAGATAAGACCCAACAAGTACCCGCTATAAATATTCAATGCCTTAAAATGACTAAAGGCCCGGGAATTAGGAAGCTGGGTAAGTTCTTGGATGTGGTACTTCGAGGACGGCATATCTCCTTGTTAATAACTGAAAAGGCCATTCAACATCCACAGTCCTCCTGACTGAATGTTTGAAGATAAAGAGATCTGAAATATCATGGTCAGCGCAAAACCATTAACTTAACGTAATAGTTATTTAAGTTCACAGCTCTTATCACGATTATCAATTTTTGCGGGAATCGGGGGTGTCCCCAAGAGTATTCCCGGTGTTGGAAACACCACGACTGCAGAATTATTTTGGGACTTTTTGGCGGGAACGTAAGGAACGAAGTTGTGTGAATTGTTTTATTTTGTCTATTTAGTATTTCTTCAGGTTTAAATGTGTAATAACGGTGGTTTATTAACTGTTTAATATCTGTGAAAGTGCACAAATGTGGGATAACGAAACAAAGCCGCTGGACGTGGTTTCGCTGGATCCTCCAAAAAGTCCACACTGAAAAATCTCAGTAAATGATCACCATTTTACTGAGTTTATATTTCATTCCATATCATCTCATTTCATTTCATTTCATCCCAGTTGATTAATGTCTTAAATTAATCAGTATCATTTCATTTCTCTCCATATTAAATGACTTAAAGGTCTTAGTTACCAGGTCATAAAATTCCTATTCCAAAAAAAAAAACAAAAAAAAATAAAAAATTTGATTGTGGTTAGACCTTTTTTCAGATATGAAAAAACCAATTACAACCACCCGTCAAATGTGCTAAGTGAAAATTTCTGCAAAGAATACGCACCTGACTGCAATGGTAAATATCTCGTGTCTCCAAACACTATACTTATGATTTTATCACACACTTCCTTGATCAGCGGGAGGTGCGAAAGTATTTCAGACAGTATTGAATTGTGTCCGATGCCTCGCTGAAAGGAATTTTCGATTTTTCAATGATTCATCATGTATTCTATGAGGCTAAGTAGGTTCATTTCATTATCAGAGCAATGGGTGGAGAAACTAGCTTAGATATTGGAGTCAATATGGAGCACAAAGTTAATACTGTCAGTGTCTGACGTTGCACACTTTATCTGCCTTTCATTCGAAGAACAACTATAAATAATACATCTACTTTCCGCTTGAAGTAATGCTATTGTAAGGTTTGTTGTAAAATAATTAAATTAGATTTAGGCATTAAATTAAGGCAATTTTCGGATTGCCCAATAGCAACACTGTTGGTGGGAGATATTACAGTAGTGGGGACGTGACGTAATAAAAAAGGCGATCTGAAAAAACGGGACAGAAAGCAGTGTATGACTTTTTGGCGGGAACGCGAGGAGTGAAATTGTGTGATTTGTTTTATTTTGTCTATTTAGTGTTTCTTCAGGTTTAAATGTGTAATAATGGTGGTTTATTAACTGTTTAATATCTGTGAAAGTGCACAAATGTGGGAAAATGAAACAAAGCCGCTGCACGTAACTTCTCGGGATCCTCCAAAAAGTCCACTGAAAAAGTCTTAGTAAATGACCACCATTTTACTGATATTATATTTCATCCTATTTCATTTAATTTAATTTCATCCCATTTGATGAATGTCTCAAATAAATCATCTTTATTTCATTTCACTCCATACTATCATTTTTCATAAAAATATGAATATAAATTAAAATAAGACATGACTTAAAGGTCTCAGTTACCAGGTCATAAAATCTCTTAAAAAAAAAAGAAAACAGTGTATTCAGTAATGAGCAGATATCTAAAGATCGTACAAGTGGAGTTATAATTAAAGCAATACAGAATTAAGTCAACTACTGCAATCTGTGTATTATTTACCTGACTGTTGGAAGCGGAGTTTCTTCATTATGACCACGAGCACAAAGCAACGAACATCACGCAAAAAACTACTCAACAGACTTTGATAAAAATATTCCAGTTCAGACCTATCATGATATGACTTCACTAAACTCGCTAAGTTCAGGGGAGATGTACACTTGACCCCAATAACAAAAGGATAGCACGCTTTTCTTTCTCAAAAAACAATCATCAAATTTATTTCAATTTAATTGTGGCATGCTTTTGAATTTCAATAAATTTGATTTCTCCTACCAGATCCAAGAGAGTCCTGAACGTAACCAAGACAATGAAAATTAGTGGGTTTGGTATTCTTTTAGCTATTCTATCCTTTTTTTATATCCTCAAACATATTATTGGACGATGGACGAACATGTAACTTCTGTTTTCCCAACACGTGGACACAAATAAAACTAACCTGCGCCACTATAAGGTTGTAAAGCCCCATAAGGCTCATGGGGTTCTTGGTGATGTTGAAACCTAGTAAACCCGAGAGCTTCTCGAAGAGTGACAGGAATGGAGACAGCTCCCGGTTGCCGGATAGGATTGTGCCCATGAATGTAGAGTAACGTGGACAGTTCATGAACGCTGTGTTCTGTGAAGAAATGAAAACGTCGCCTATTTATTTATTTGGGAAACAACACAATACAAACATGTAATATTTTAAAAAATAGCTAAAACAATAACCAAACATGTTTCCACAATCAAAATAACATATAAGTAGACAGTGACAGAGAAGAGAAATTTTGAAATTTAAGTTACAAAAACACAAAAGCAACAGAATACGGACATATTATTTTGTACATCAGCTTACACTATAAAATTATAATACTCACCGGACTAAATCACCTTATAAATATTTCAAAAAAGCTTGTATGTAAATTAATACATAGTATAAAACAAAGTCCCTATATCTGTCCCTATGTATGCTTAAATCTTTAAAACTACGCAACGGATTTTAATGCGGTTTTTTTTATAGATAAAGTGATTGAAGAGGAAGGCTTATATGTATAATAACGTCCATTAAATAGTGGAGAAATCAACAATAAATTACAGTTTCCGAAGCGAAGCGAGGGCGGTTCGCTAGTGTATTTACGGAGAGACTGGCGCCAACACAGAGATCCACTGCATTCGACTGCTTGAGAAGGAATGTGCTATGCGTTTTTTTTTTCCTACCTTAGCTGGTAGCCCTGAGATGCTATGGCAGCGTAACCGAGTGAATAGGTGAGCTCTCGGGACTCTAACCTGTAGACGTTGCTAACACTAGCCCTAGCAAGAGCAGCGCTTCGCAGAATCTCCCACCGGATCGGAAACGCGACTTACTGAGAAGATCCGGCGAGAAACTCAGTGGGCTGTATCTGTGACCGGTGCTTGAGGTACCTAAAAGCACCGTTAGTGGATCGGGAGCATCCGAAATGAGATGTTTAGGGCGGTTGCACGATAATAGTCACTCGTATCTATAGTAGTAACAGTGGGGGTAGTTTGTTCATGAATTCTCCTGTCTTAAACAAGTGCTTACAAGCGTTGGACTTATACGTTAACTTTAACAAAACTTAGTTAGCAATGCTGCGCCGAAATAAGAGTATGTACGCATATGTAGGATTGGTAAGGACGGAACGTATGAAAAGAGTGTGAAACGGAGCGTTAAGATGTGAGTGGGAGAAAACGGAAAGAAAGGGAGAAGAAAATGACAGACAGAGTTGGAGGATGGCGAAGAGGGTTAAAAAATGAGCAAGACGTAATAGAAGTGTTAATTATTATTATTATAATAGAAGATTTTGGAAGAGTGGAAGTTTTATTTTATGCGCTGCGATCCCTATTCTACATATATATAAAAAAACGCTCGCCAAATTCGCATGTTAACCGTATTGTTACGCCGGTAAGAGTAACGCCATCTATCGCCGAATAGTCGAACGAATATAGAAGGATCTAGTAGTATCTAGAACGTTCGAGAAGTACAACGCCATCTATTGCCAGAATGCGGGAACACACACTACTATACTTTTGTGGAATATTCTCGACGATTCTAGAGATTTCGTCTCGACTATAAAAGCGTTGCAGAGATGGCACGCAGTCAGTCCACCCCCGATTACTCTCTTTAGTCAATCCATACCCTGGGCCAGGAAGGTCAAGTACCTGGGCGTTACCCTGGATGCATCGATGACATTCCGCCCGCATATAAAATCAGTCCGTGACCGTGCCGCGTTTATTCTCGGTAGACTCTACCCCATGATCTGTAAGCGGAGTAAAATGTCCCTTCGGAACAAGGTGACACTTTACAAAACTTGCATAAGGCCCGTCATGACTTACGCGAGTGTGGTGTTCGCTCACGCGGCCCGCACACACATAGACACCCTCCAATCCCTACAATCCCGCTTTTGCAGGTTAGCTGTCGGGGCTCCGTGGTTCGTGAGGAACGTTGACCTACACGACGACCTGGGCCTCGAATCAATTCGGAAATACATGAAGTCAGCGTCGGAACGATACTTCGATAAGGCTATGCGTCATGATAATCGCCTTATCGTTGCCGCCGCTGACTACTCCCCGAATCCTGATCATGCAGGAGCCAGTCACCGTCGACGCCCTAGACACGTCCTTACGGATCCATCAGATCCA